TGTGCCATGATTTCTAGCTTGTTTCTCAATCAACCCTTTTTTCACATGAAAAGGTGGTTTGACACTTTTCCATGCAAATCCTATTTGCAATATCCTTACAAGGTTTTCTATTGAAAGCATGTCTAGCATGCACGTTTGTTCAAACCACGTTTTTCATAGAAACAACTGCCCATTAAAAAGTGACATAGAAATCATGATAAAGAATTCGAAAAAGTACCATTATTTGGTGATTGATTCTAGATTACTCGCACCAATCAATAGCACAAAAGTGGTAACAAAGATTGAATTACGTCACAACAATCAACAGTTTGCACAGATACGAATAGTGAAGTGCACTGTATTCAAGTGGATGAGTAAGAAAATTATAAATAGGCATATAATGAAGTAAAATCAAATATACCATTGGGTAGTGACAAAGGAAAATCGGTCCAACACTCGTGCTGCAGCGAAATTTCCCCCACAAAGTCCAAAACTTCCTCCGTAATTCCTACTGTGACGTCTCCCTCATCTCTTTCAGCCTCATCGCCGTCGTTTTGGAATGGTAAAAGCCTGGAAGCGAACAGAGAAATCCCAGACACAACCTTATTCGATGCCAATAGCGAAATACCCGTCTTCAAATTATCCCCAATCTCCACTAAATCGTTCTTAATTCCAAGAATTGCTTGCGAATACGACGTCGTCTCATCATCGGAGGCCAAGGCGGTCATGGAATGCTGTGGCGGAAGGGGAGCGCCGCAGAGTTGGTGGGTGAGGACGGAGATGTCGTCCTTGACGGCGGAGGAGGGCGGAGTTGAGGGGTATGGCGGTGGCAATGAGGGGTTTTGATCGTCGTATTTGAAGGGGTTTGGGAGAAACAATGAGAGCCACAACATATTTTTTTAGGGTTAGTTGAGACACAGAGAGATCATTGGGGGGGTTTTGAGGGAGGTTTGTTTATTACTACTAATTCTACTACAAGTGGTACTGCTTGTTCTTCAATCTCTGGAGTCCTACTTCTAGTTGGACTCTCTCTCTCCCCCGTCGCTCTATCCCATGCTCAACTTTTGTATTGGCTACTTTCTCATTCTACTATTTATATGACACTTACCTCCCTTCCCTTTCAAAAAGATTTATGGTGATGAATATTCTAATTTTGAAGTAGATAATTTTTCTTTCATCACATTGAAAAAAAAAATTAATTGAATTGTACATAAATTGATCCACACATAATCATCGATGAAATAAAAAAACAAAGTGTAAGACTTATGGTGCAAGTTGGTGAGTGTCAAGGGCAAAAACAGGTATACCTCCTACAAGAGTGAATAATTGATATTTCTGGTAAGAGTGAATTTTGAACTTGATCTCTCATTCTTTCTTTTTTACAAAACGAACAGACTGTCCAATATCGAAGTGTTTCAATCGAACATACTCTGATGTTTAAGTCAATAATGAAACTAGATGAATTGCAAAAGACAAGGAAAGTTCAGTGTACCTTTCACCTTGGCTCCTTATGCTTTTTTATAGAGCTCTGCTTAGTTAGGGTTTCATCATTTTTGATTCAAGGTGGTACACCTTCTTCAATCAGGCGACTCTGTTCAGGAAGTTGTTGAGATCTCTCCAGCAATTCCTTCTATCGAGCCTATGATAATACCCATTCGTTTGACCAGAATGCCTGAATTATAGACATCTCTTTAGCATCTCATTTACTATTTGAAACATCTCGGTCATGATGAGGACCGAGTTCGTTCCCTCTTTCCCGAGCTTCTAAACAACTCGATTGCGGTTTGATGACTGAGTGATGTCTTTCTCACATGGCTGGTCATGTTACCTTCATGTGAGATCATTTAATGTGAATACACGTTGCATAAAGGGAGCAAACTCCTTCATTTGCCCCCAGGAAATGTGTGATAAACATTTTTTGTCTATCAGTCATTTCATGATCCCAAATCCATCATTGTGCATACTTTTGAGACATCCCCCTTTGTTTTGGCAGCTAGTTATGTATTTAAACATTGTCTCTTGCACTTCGCTCCCCTTCTTTTAAACAAACTTTTATATCTTCTTCTTCTTACTCCTTCTTCCTTTTTTTGCGAACTATCCTCTGCCTTCTTTGTTTTCTACTATGCTATGGCTCCGTTAACACCTTTTGAGATTTTAGCTTTTAAAGCTAAGTATAACATTCTTGATGATGTCGATGTTTGAGTCGTGGTACCTATGAACCTCTAATTGGAACCAAAGAGAGCATAGGGATTCATACCGTGCAATCATAGAAGGTTGTGTTTGTTTCCCTCTTGATCCTCTCTTTTTCTGGGTGCTATATGTGATGAAGTTGTGTCCCATCCAATGTTGCCCCAATTTTTCCAGAATAGTAATGGGTGTTGCTGCTTTGAATAGGCTTCTGAACCTGAGCCTTGGACTATGGAAAATTTTGTATTGTTACATCGTCAAACCAGCAAGAGACAACTACTATCTCACAGTGAGAAGGAATGATTGATATTTGGTGACCCATCTTCCAGACTCAAACAAAGGCCATGAGAATAATGTGGTATTTGTTTCTGGGAACTGGAAATATGTTGTTGGCGCTACTCCTTCTTATTGTTGCCGCTATGAGGAAGGCGCACCATGTGATTGTTGTTTTTACTATATCTTCTTAATTCATTCATCTACTATTTTTGCTTACGTTGTTTTTTTCTTCGAAGGCGAGACTGTGAAGGGAAGAGTCCTTGAGCGCACTATCAAGATGGATGAGCTCAAGAAGGTGTGGGACTATAATGAATCCATCTTCTGGCGTGCCGCTTATACTCTGCTCAGGTATACACCAACATACATGTCCTTCATTGCAGTGCCCAACCAACCTAACTCTGCTCTTGCCGCCTATCGTGAGTCCATCCAGGCTACTCGGGACCAGACTCTTCATTCCCACAAAACAATGCCCTGCCCTTCTGGAAGAAACGGATCAGTCAAAAATTTTCTTTATTTTCTATTAACTATTGAACCATCCATCCCTACCAAACCGTCTGTGCTAATTGATCCTCCTACTTTTTCCAACCTTGTACTTGTAGAGGAGCTTGCACTCGATGTCCCTACTAAAGTTGTTCCTCCCGAGTCGAGCAATATGGTTTTATCGGATGATGAACTAGTTGATTTAATTTAGGCTATAGATTCTTCTATTCCCACTGAGTGCGGTCCTCCAATTCATGTTCATTCCCCCAACAACCATCCTGATTCAATTTTGGAGCTTTTCGAAGACCCTACCCCTAAAAGGCGTAAAGTTGTGGAGTTTGATGCAGTCCCGTCTCCTAAGCCAGTTACTCCTCCTTTTCGACCTGTCCTCAGAGCAAAAAGAAGGGAGATTATAGTGAAGGATTCTGCTGTTGAAGACTTTAATGTTGCAGTGGGGATTGCTATGGGATAATTTTGCCTCAGGATATAGCAGCAAATGATGCTCTGTCTGATGATGAGATTGCTCGCCAAACAATCTAGCATATGGTTCTAGTATTAAGCTTGTTCCTTTTTCCTTCCTTTAGAGCCACAGTAATCTATCTAAGTTTCTCTCTTTTTAACTTGTAGTCAAAAAATACACGAGGTAGGGGCTAGGATAGCCCGAAAAGACAAAGCCATGAAAGATACCATCCACGCCCATGCTTCAGCTTTAGCGAAGAAAAAATCTACAGATGAAGAGCACGCCAAGCTCTGCGAGGAAGTTCTAGTTCTACAGGCTCAAATGCATAGCCTGACCAAGGAGAACAAGAAGCTTTCTACAGAGGTTGAGTAGTTAAAAAAGTCTAAGCATGCAGCAAATGTGAAGCTCTCCCAATCCCAACTTGATCATGTCAGTCTCTTGGAAGAGTTTGATAAGATTAGGTCCAAGGCTAAGGATCGAGAGGACTCTACATATGAATAAGGAATGGAGAATGCAACAAACGATTAGCTCTATAGACTCCACTCTTGGAAAAGGCGTACTTTAGCAAGGGGTGGCATGCTGCCTTGACTGCTGTTGGAGTGCCTCAATCCTCTGAGCTTTATTCTCGTCATTCTTTGCTTAGCTCGTCCTAGCCTCCAACTTCCTAAAGACAAACACTTCAGAAATTTTTTTGTAACTTCTTGAAGTATACTCTGGAATGATTTTGTAACTTTTTTGAAGTATAATGAAAGTTTTATGTCCTAGCTCTTTGTTCGGTGTCTCCATTTTCTTTTCAGTTTTTGTGGTTGTTTAAAAATAGAAGATTACTCATGCAGTTATGGCCTGTACTCAGCCTTTCTTCAATAAACTCGGTCCCAACTAAAACAAATTTAGGTTTTTGAAGTTATGGCCCTTAATTGGCCCTTCTTTAAAGAGCACGGTCCCATCATAGGGTGCTTTCAATACTTAGAAAAATTTAAACTTTAGAAGTTATGGCCCTTAATCGGCCCTTCTTCGAAGAGCTCGGTCCCATGATAAGGACCTTTTAATACTTAGAAAAATTTAAGCTTTAGAAGTTATGGCCCTTCTTCGAAGAGTTCGGTCCCATCATAGGGACCTTTCAATACTTAGAAAAATTAAGCTCTAGAAATTATAGCCCTTACTCAACCCTTCTTCGAAGAGCTCGGTCCCATCACTGGGACCTTTCAATACATAGAAAAATTTAAGCTCTAGAAGTTACGGTCTTTCTTCGAAGAGCACGGTCCCATCATAAGGAGCTTTTAATACTTAGAAAAATTTAAGTTGTAGAAGTTATAGCCCTTATTTGGCCCTTCTTCTAAGAGTTCGGTCATTACGTAGAGTTAGGCTCTGGCCCCTTAGGCATTTCCAAAGACTGTTTCTACCCTCACAGCGACTCGTCGATCTAATCGGACTCATTTTCACCCGTTTAGCTTACATTGTCATGCCTAGCTATGGGCTTGGAGCTGATCGGGTGGTTGCGCCTAATTTAAGCATATACTTCTATCATAATTTTTGTCTCATTGCCTTAGCAATAGGATGTATTTGGTTCAATAGTACTAACAATTTGAGAGATGTATCTTAAGAACATTTATTCATACTTTTGCCACATATTATTCCAAAAAAAGGGGGCACCCTTATTGTTCTAAAGGTATTTCAGAGTCCATATTTCAAAAGGGCACTTTTAGAAATAAAACTTTCGCAGATTGGTACAATTCCAGGAACACTTTTAGAAATATCCACAGTCCCCAACCCGCGTTACTTTATATAGCCCCTCCCAGTTGGCTCTGAGCTTTCCAGACATCATTTTCTTAGCTGATCCCATAATGCGTCTAAGAACCAAGTCTTCAAGGGTGAAAGCCCGAGGATTAACCCTCTTGCTATAAGCTTTGGAGATCTGTTGCCGATAAGATGTCATTCGAATCGCTGCTTGCTCTATTTTCTCTTCGACTAAATCAAGTTCCTGAGTAATGACGGCGTTGTTGCTTCCACTATCTACAAGCTCGGTCCTTAAGGTCGGTAATCCAATTTCCAAAGGTATTATCGCCTCCATCCCATAGGCAAGTGTGAAAGGGGTTTCTCCAATCGAGCGCCGAGGTGTGGTTCGGTACGTCCACAGAACGCTTGGCAGCTCTTCCACCCATCTTCCTTTTGCATCTTTTAGCCTCTTCTTAATACCATCCAAGATCGTTTTACTAGAAATTTATGCTTGCTCGTTACTTTGAGGATAGGATGGAGTTGAATAATGGTTCTGAATTTCGTACTACTGGCAAAAAGTTTTGAAAGGATTACTGTCGAACTGTGTCCCATTATCAGATACAAGGGCATTAGGTATTTCGAATTTGGTGATGATATTTTTTCATAAGAATTTCCTGATGTCTGTATCTTGGATGTTAGCTAGGAGCTCGGCTTTTACCATTTTGTGAAGTAGTCTATTGCCATAAAAAGAAAACGTTTATTCCTAGGGACCCG